AGACAAGAGAGGTCAGTCCGTTGCGGAGTCCTGACGTCTGGGCAAACAGATTGACATTGATCATATATATGACATTGCATGTCACATGAGATATTGATCATATGAGATATATATGTAAGTACTGGACAGCGTCAAGGAGAAACAGATAATTAGTCCATAACACCTATGAAAAATGAACTTGGAGAAATATAATAGTTCAGGTGAAGTCTTTTCAGGGGGTGTTGGAGCAAGGGGTGGGGAATCACTGAGATAAAAGTTGTYTCACAGCACGACACGCTCATATTTGCTTTCCTTGATGACGAGCTGCAGCTACTTGCAAACCAGTACCTTGTTRGCTGGTGATGAGAATCTCTCTACTGATGAAAGGAAGCACTTCTTCCAGGAAATCCTCTCATTTGCTGGCAAGTCTGTAGACCACCGTAAGTTTTCATGTTCTGTTCTGGTTGGAAGCCGGGTTCCCACCAAACACGTTTGGAGCAGCCAAAATGCTCCTGCCGCATGCGTTTGGCTGCTTGTCAGCAGCTGTCAGTTCACACCGAAAGCGTCTAAAGATGCACAATGGGAGGAGCGTCTTTGTTCTTTTTCCGGTCGGTTGACGTTTGAAATAAAGATAAAATAAATAAAATATCTTTGCTTTATTTACTAAAGAGCAAGCGAACGTTGCGCACAGAGCAGATAATTTATTCACCAGATATTAGAGGCGCTCTGTCTGACTTTTTTTTTTCAGACCGCGACCAGACTGTCTTTAATGGCGAGTGAAATAAAGATAAAATAAATAAAATGGCTTTGCTTTATTTACTAAAGAAGAGCAAGCTAACGTTGCGCACAGCAGATAATTAATTCACCAGATAGTTTAGAGGTGCTCTCACTGACATTTTTTTTTCTTCAGACCGGGACCAGACTAGAGGCTGTAGAGGGAGGAGGTTCTTGGTTTTTTTCCGGTCTGTCTTTAATGACGGGTGAAATAAAGATAAAATAAATACAACGGCTTTGTTTTATTTACTAAAGTTTCGCCACTCCAGGAACTGCGAGCTGAGGGACTTTTTTTTGTCCAGAGCTCAGCGAGCTGCTGCTGTCTCATCACATCGGTGCTGATCTCTCCAGCTAGAACTGCAGACTGTCGATTTCAGCTAAAAAGGCTCCTAGTCTGTGTCGGGTTCATGAAACCGTCACGTGAAAAAAAATTCTCTCCCGATTGGTTGCTGCTGCGCG